TAGGGGAGGAAGCAGCCAGGGCCAGCTCCTGCAGGTCCATAGGCTGCAGCATGGACTTAGATTTTGTTCTCAGGGGAGTGGAAAGCTACTGAACAGAGCGGGAAACATGATCTGACTCCCCTCTGAAACGGTCGTCTCAGTGGAAATAGAAGTAGGGGCAAAAGGCAGGGGGAGACCTGCCAAGAGAGTATGACGATGGGTCAGGTGGGCCTGGACCGCAGGTCATGGCCACAAGAACTGCTGAGATGCAAATACGTCTCACAGCAGAGTCAACAGGACTTGCTGCGGGCTTCGGATGCCAAAGAAAGAAGTGACCCAACAGTGGCTGGCAGGGGTTTGGCCCGAGTCACCGGGAGAATCATACCACATAGGTGGGCAACACGGAGTGCGGCGGGGAGCTGGCTAGGGATGAGAAGTAATAATTCTCTTCCTCCCATCTTTGGTTTGAGGGGCCTATTATATCTTGAATGAGGATGTCCAGTATGAGGCGCTGGCTCCAAAAGGAGGCTGCAGGTCCCAATGGAGGGCCCATCATCCATGGGCTTTTCGTGTCCCTGTTTCTCCCCAGGGTTCATCTCTGTTCTCCGTCGGCTGTGGATTCAGTGAGATTCTGCTCTAATAAATGCTTTCAGATCTTGTTCATCTAAAATGTCCTTCCTTTGCCTTCATGCTTAAATATTAGTTTACCTGGGTCCAGAATGCAGGCTTGGAGGTTATTTTTCTTCATATGTAAAAAATACTTATTTTATAATAGTATAAAATATCAATAAAGACAACTTTATTATTCAATTATTCATCTCACCAAAGCATCAAAATTTTTTTAATTTCAAAATGCCATGGTTCAAGATCTACACAGCTAAAAGGTCATGTATATCAGTGCTTAATACTTTGGATTATAATTCTCAACTACAACTTATTTTTTTAAATAACATGCACAGTAAATGAAGGAATTACATGATTTAGAAAATATGCATTTTAAACAACCCTTAATAATTATGACCATCCTGGGTTTAATGTGAGCATATTTATGTCAACAAACAGTGCAAACTCTACATTTGAGGCTGTGGCGATTTGAGTTATGGTTTGAATTTTTTACTTTGGGGGAAAATGTGGGGGGTGGAGGGGGTTCCTACTAAAATATAGATTTGCCTGTTAGATCTATTTAATTTTACTTTATTTATGTATATATTTTCATTTAAATATACAATTTTTAAAAATAAGAATGTTTTCCTGATTATAATAAAGCAATAAAGACGGTATAGACCCACGGGACAAAATGGATGACTGCTAACTAGTTTCTCAGAGACGAAAAAAAAAATCAGTGCTGCTGAAATATAGTCTGTAGAGAAGTTTGTAGGGGAGGTTGATGGCCAGAGGGATGCGGTTCCGCAGGCTCATTGAGAATGAATGACAGCATACCGGAGAATAGCCGGCTATTGCAACATAGTAAAAAGGTGCTAGTTAGGACCGTATAGCGTGTGTGGGGGTATAGCTCAGGGGTAGAGCATTTGACTGCAGATCAAGAGGTCCCCGGTTCAAATCCGGGTGCCCCCTGTTGGTTTTCTTTCCACCGAGGGCTCTGCTGACAGATAGTGGAAGGCGTGGGAAAGGCCATCTTCTGCTTCAGGAGATGGAAAAATTGCTCGTCCAGAATCGGAGGTTTTGTCCTGACCCTCTGACCTACGTGTATGTTTGGTGGTCTCTCCTAAGTCCACAGGAGGCTGGGGGCGCACCCAGAAGCAGCAGCGGCGAGACCTCATAGGTTCAGCCGCGGGGGGGGCGCTGTTCGTGCGCATGTGCCCTGGAACCTCAGCCCCGGGGACCCGGATGCAGGAGGCCGGGGAGGGCGCTTTTATTGTAAAAACGACGCATACCTCTACCCTTCCTCCTTACCCCCTCCACCCCGATGCGCACTAGATCCGACAGGCGCATTTGGGGGAGGACTACGCTGGGTGATTCGGAAGGGCGCTTGGCCTAAACGTGTTTGGTTCTCAAAGCGGGTGCCCTCGGCAGGGGCCCGAGAAGCTGCCAGGTGCGGAAGAAGGCCTGGTAGCAAAGGGGTCCGTCCCGGCGCAGCAGACCCCGCCGGTCTCAGGCAAGCCCACGGAAGACGTCGGCGACTTGCTGTGTTAGAGCTCTGGATACGGCAGCTGAGGGGAAGGCGCCGTGGCTCCTAGGCGGGTCATTTGAACACAGATCACGCGGTCTCTGATCCGTAATCCAGGGAGCCCCCACCGGCTGTCATTAAAAATATGTATGTTGTAGACTTTATTTCTCAGAGCAGTTTAAGGTCACAGAAAAGCTGAGCAGAAAGTACAGAGAGTTCTCATATACCCCCCCACACACACACAGTTTCCCTGTGGTTAAGATCTTGCACTAGTGTTAAAACTGGTGATCGAATATCGATCGATACATTATTATTAACTGACACCTATAGTTTACATTAAGTTCCCAACAATTTAATGGGTTTTGACAAATGCATAATGTCACGTATCCACAATTAACTAACATCATAGGGATAGTCCCACTGTTGTAAAAATCCGGCCTGCTATACCTAGTCATTCCTCTCCCCTCCCTGCCAATCCCTGGCCACCGCTGATCTTTTTACTGTCCCTAGTTTTGCCTTTCCTAGAATGTCATAGAGTTGGAAACATACTATATGCAGCCTTTCCAGATCAGCTTCTCTCACTTAGCTATAGGCTTTTAAGGTCCCTCCATATCTTTTTGTGGCTTTATAGCTCATTTCTTTTTATGGCTGAATAATATTCCATGGTATGCACCTGCTGCCGTATTTATTTAGACTTGTTGGCATTCCAGATAACTGCCTCTTCCTGCAAGAAGGGAAGAGAGAAATTAAGAGTACACTTATCTTGGGGCACCTGGGTGGCTCTGTCGTAAGCGTCTGCCTTCGGCTCAGGTCAGGATCTCAGGGTCCTGGGATCGAGCCCCGCATCGGGCTCCCTGCTCCGCAGGAAGCCTGCTTCTCCCTCTCCCACTCCCTCTGCTTGTGTTCCCTCTCTCGCTGTCTCTTTCTCTGTCAAATAAATAAATAAAATCTTTTTTAAAAAAAAAGAGTACACTTATCTTGATGAGCACTGAGTAATACATATATAATACTGAGTAATATACATATAATATATGGAAGTGTTGAATCACTATACTGTACATCTGAAACTAATATAATGCTGGATGTTAACTACACTGGAACTGAAGAAGAAGGAGGAGGAGAGGGAGCAGGAGAAGGAGGAGAAGGGAGGGGGGAGGGGGAGGGGGAGGGGGGGGAGAGAAGAAGCAGATCAGGCTTTTTCCAGAAAACCTCCCCAGGCCCTGGCAGCACTATACAATTTCCCCCGTTCCTTATTCTGGCATTGATCCAGTCTCACTTATGAGACTTGGGGTAGATAATATGCAACTATCTTTCTTACACCCCCAACATTTGAAATTCCCTTCCATCTGGGGGGATCCACACCTGTGCGTGACTGGTGGAAACCAGGACCTACCTGCACTACCAAAGGCAAAAGTACCAGACTTTGCCCTCCCACCAGCCCCAGCAATGCCCTCAGCTTAGCCAGTCACACACACGTGATTGGGACTTGGAACATGGAATGAGGCAGGAAGAGTTTGGAATTTATTCCAGGGGAGCGCTGACATTTGGCGGTGGGGCTGAGGGCTGCAGCCAGTGTGCAGTGGGGGCATCACCAACCCCCTAACCAGGATGCTGTTTGGGGGCAAAGGATCCTGACCCCCTGGCTGTCCTTTAATTCTGGCCGTTTTCTGAGTGTAGATCGCTAGGTTTCCTTGAGTGGTCTGAGATTTTTGTCTTCGTGCCAGTCATTTCCTTGTTTGCTTCAATTAGCCATTATCAGTTTCTATTTTTGAGACGGAATGCTGGCAGTGTGAAAACTGATCCTAGAAGTCACGTGCCGGAAGTGAGGGGAACATGGCGTTGGTCATCTGGTCTGGTTGGGGCTAAAAGCAGTGACCATCCGGCCAGTTATTCAGGAATTGGAACCTGGCAGTCATCAGTCACTGACACACAGTGACAAAGCAGGGAAGTTGACTATTGACTGGGTCACCTGGAACGAAGTGCCCAGGGAGGGCCAGGCCCTGATGTACTAAGTTACCATAGAACACCAGCAAGCACCGTACAGTAGAGTGGCTAACTCTGTCGGCACGGGAACTTAGAGAAAACGAAGATCAAATGTGTAAACCCTCTCCTCTAGCCAGCGCCAAGTGCAGAGAGCCTTAACTCTTACCCCGGAATAACTGAAAAGGCCTCCAACCAAAAGTGGGTTACTGACTTACAATGTCAGTTAAAGGAACAGTATCCTTGTCTCATGTGTGAAAGATAGGACACTAATCAGAAAAGAGTGGGATCGGGGCGCCTGGGTGGCTCAGTCGTTAAGCGTCTGCCTTCGGCTCGGGTCATGATCCCGGAGTCCTGGGATCGAGCCCCGCACCGGGCTCCCTGCTCAGCGGGAAGCCTGCTTCTCCCTCTCCCACTCCCCCTGCTTGTGTTCCTTCTCTCACTGTGTCTCTATCAAATAAATAAAATCTTAAAAAAAAAAGAAAAAAGAAAAGGGTGGGATCTTCGCACCCACTCGGCGCTTATTCAATGGACTCAGAAATAAAGGTCAAAACCAGGCCTGGAGGCCAGGAGCCAGCTCCACCAAATGGATTTCACACACCCCGCCCCCCAAACCTGGCCATGCCAGGGAAGGGCGCCCAACATTCCAATTACATCCCCTAATAAAAAGATGGTGTTTTAGAGGCCAGGCAAGCAGCCAGCAACATGGAAGCAGGTGGATTATGTTAGAAACATCAGGGATGGGGCACTGCTTTGTTCTCACTGGAACACTTATCTTGAGTTTACACTGTTTTTGAAGTGAAACAGGTTACCTGTGTACAAAGGAATGCTATAGGTAAGCTGCACAGGAATGAGGAAAGAATCTCCCCTCCTCTACCCTATCTTCCATCGCATAGCTCAGTGTCCTCTGCAGTCTCTGGAAAGTGGATCTCCCCAGTCTCTGATGCCCCGTAACATCCCCTTCAGTTACTGCCCTGATGCCTGGTTGGAAGGACTGGTGGGTGTCCTCACTGTGTGAATGAAGGTCTGTGAGCTGGGAGGGAGGTAGGGCGTGGGGGCGGGGGGCACATGCAGGGCCTGGGCTCTCCTGCTATGGGGCAGAGGAAACAGAGATCTCTGACCTTATAGCAGGGACCCTTGGGCCGGGGCTGTGGGCCCCCAAACAGCAGCCTTCTAGCTTCCTTGGTTATGCTGCCGGAAGGATTCAGGGGCTACTGTCTCGCTGGCGCTGTCTCTCCTGGGTTCAACCAAGCCCCTCGGAGACTGCCTCAGGAGGCGACTGGGCCGGGGAGAAGGGTGGGGGGGAGATGTGAAGGAAAACAGAGGGCCAGCAAGGGTGAGGCTGGGGAGGATGGGGTAGAGCCGGTGGAGCTGAGGGAGGAGGGAGGGAAGGAAGGAAGGGTGGGGGGCGGGGTCCCGCAGAAACCCGGTGCCTCCCGCAGGTCAGGCGCGGCTGCCGCGGAAAAGCGCCTAGTAGACAGCGAGGGGTCTCTGGGGAATGGGAAGGCGGCCTCATGGCCACAGAGTGGTCCCTGGTGAGTTTGTGCTGGGCCTGCTACTTTCATAGGCCTACCAGCAACGAACAGAACTCACCGGGCGCTATGGAATGCTTGGGTGTGGCATCACAGGTGAAGTAACATAAAGAGGAGCCAGCCTGACGCAAGGGGGTATAGCTCAGGGGTAGAGCATTTGACTGCAGATCAAGAGGTCCCCGGTTCAAATCCGGGTGCCCCCTGCTGGGCCTCTGCTTTATTGCCGAACACGGAGGAATGGCTTCCCAGATACCACAATCTATTTAATGTCATCGGGTGCCCTCCCTGCCACTTTTCCCCAGACCCTGTCCCGTGCCTCTTCTCCCCCGGCATTTGGAAGTGTGGTTGACCCATTGGCTGCAATTCTTCACCTCGCGGTGTCTGTGGCTTTTGCTTGTGACTTTTCCGTTTCTCCCCCACAGGTGAGTGCGCCCTGCACCCCCTTGCTCTGGGCTGGGCCATAGGTATCAGTCTGGACCAACCAGGAGACAGAACCCACACAGTAACTTAAGTGGGAAGTTTAATATAATTATTGTGTTATGAAAAGAGTAACTACAAAGGTGCAAAGAAAACTCTAAAGTTATCCGCGGGGAGAGGAATCCAAAGAAGGACAAATTCAGAAGGGGGACCCCTCCCCAAAGCTGGGATTAGACCCCGGGGGAAGGTGTGGTTGCAGCCCACTCGCCAGGTTGCCGCAACCTGACCTATTCACAGTCTCCGGGCAAGCAGCAAGCAAACCTCTTGGGCACAGGAGAGGCACCTGGGGGTGTGAGGTCTGGAGCGTGCAGCATCTGCACCTGGAGGGCTCGGGGGACCAAACCTCTGCGCGGCAGAGACAAGCGGGGCTGGCTGGCGCACGCAGGTGCGTAGGCGGAGTTGGGAGGGCCCAGGGAGGTGGTCGCCGGCCCCGCTGGGGTGCGAGGTCGCCATGGGACTTCCTTCTCTGGGGGCCTGGCTGGGTCCTCACACACCCACACCTCTGACCAACCATGCAACAGAAGCCAAGGGGAAGGGGAAAAAAACAAAACGAAACAAACCACCACCACCAACAACACGCAGCAGAAATTAGGGAGACAATTTCCTTTTCTCCAGCAACGTCCCTCCAGCGCCCTCTACTGACAGCTGTTCATATTACAGGAGAAACGCTTACAGAAACCGGCCGGTTATTGCCCGGCAGGTATGGGGGCATGAATTTGGACCCGAGAGTCAAAAAATTGATAGCTGGCACATCGTGTGACTTGTTTTGGCCAACAGGATGTTAGCAGGTTATGCAGGAAGGGGCTTGAGATCAACTTGAAAGGTTGGGTTTGTCCTCCGGCGCTTCTGCTATTACCATGAGATGTGTTTATCCTGTGAGCTGCTGCCCCTTCAGCCTGGACCCCAGCGTGGACACACAAGGCCCAATCTTCAGCCCAACTCATCAAGAGGAGCCAAGGCCGGCTGGACCCGCAGTTTGAAGCGGCCTTACCCAGACAAGCCCAGCCCCGATCAATTGATTCACATTCAATATTCTGACCCCCGGGCATGAGAATAAATGCTTATTGTTGTGGGTCACCGGTTTGGGGTGGCTTGTTTTGCGACACTATTGTGGATTCGACTGGCAAATACTAAAAGTGACATACAGAAGGGGGCTCCTGCTATAACAAAAGCCTGAAGTACATGGCATGCCTTCGCAATGAAGCAATGGGGTGGCAAGAGAGCTGTTAACAATCAGCTGGGAAAATAGGAAACTATTATTGGCAGGGACATCAGAGGCTCATGATAACCTGGAAGGCAGAAAATATGCTTGAACTTGTAGTGTTAGGGGTAGGATATTTCAAGGAAAAACATTGAATGCATGAGCTATTTTGTTACAGGCTGTTTTTGATAAGGTACTACAAAAAAAGATTTGAGTCCAGAAGAGAACTTACTGGTTTGCAGTCAGAATTTAGAGGCAATCTAGATAGCTCAAAATTGCAGAGCCAGAAAAATGAAACCATTCTCTCCAAAACAAAGGTGAGGCCATTCTTACATCACTTTAGGAAAAAGACTAACTCCAGAGCCTTCCCGTAAGACATAGCCTCAAACCAAGTCAAGCTTAATGCACTCATAGTCTGAATGCACTTTATTAAGAGCACTGAAGAATTAAACTGGTACCAAGGATATCCTCTCAGTTGGACAAAAGTATTCCGAGAAAGACTAAGGGTGTGCCCAAATACTTATAATTGAGCCGGAGGGAGAGCCTATGTCAAAAAGAATTGTGATCGTATGGCTTTGGGCACATGGAGTCTAATAAAAAGAAAACCCACATGTTGCTTGAGAGAACTGTACTGTCAAAAGCATTACTAGCTTGGACGAAAAGACGCGAAGACTGGGAAGTTGAAAGGACCTGGGCTTCCAGCATTCTACAGGAGGAAGCAAGCTGAGAAGAAAGCTCAGCCACCAGAAAGGACATATTTTCCAATGATCTCTTTAAAAAATTGCAGAGGGGGTGCCTGGGTGGTTCAGTTGTTAAGCCTCTGCCTTCGGCTCAGGTCATGATCCCAGGGTCCCGGGATCGAGCCCCGCATCGGGCTCCCTGCTCTGCGGGAAGCCTGCTTCTCCCTCTCCCACTCCCCCTGCTTGTGTTCCCTTTCTCGCTGTGTCTCTCTCTGTCAAATAAATAAAATCTTTAAAAAAATAAATAAATAATTGCAGAGAAGGCTGAAGGAAAAGGAAGACTTCTCAGAGTCATGCAAAAACAGTGGACGGGGAGCTCTCCCGAGGCAGCAGAACCAGAATCTAATCATACTGAGTTTTGGGGTGGTTTGTTATATGATATTATTGTGAAAAGCCTAACAAATACTGACATTGGGATCCAGAAGGGGGCTCTGGCTGGAACAAAAGGTAAAAGCTGAGTTTATTATGCATGCAGGAGAGAGGTAAGTAATTATGACCAAGAGGGCAGACCACAGTGGATTAAAATATTGGCCCCAGTTCTGAGCTTATTCTGTGTGCACCCTTTGCCATGAGACTTTTCAGATGCTCCCATGTTCCCAAGGAACAGATTTCCCTGCCCTTGTTGTAGGGCTTGGTCCTGAGACTCGCTTTCACCGATGGGATGTTAGCACATGGATTACAAGCTGAGGCTTGAAACCTGCTCGCATAGTTGGGCAGGACGTTTTTGCATTTCCGCCATTGCCAGGAGAAAAGTTCCCCTGCTAGCTGCCACTCTTCCAACTTGGACCCAGGAATAAACGGCCTTGCAGCAAACCTGAGCCCAACTCACATCAAGGATCCGAGCACAGATGGACCCCCACCTTGAAGCAGGGCCACCAGGTCAAGCCCAGACTAGATCCACTGCTTGCCATGCATGAAAATAAATGTTTATTGTTGCATTCATCTGAATTTAGGGATGATTTGTTAGGAAGCATTATTGTGGACATAGCTAATCCAGGCATGATTCTTACACTTCCTCTCCCTTCCCCTCCCACCAGGTACTGAGTGAGGTGAGGAGAGGAGACTGCAGTTTATCCAAGGAGTTCAGGTTGTGGCTACAGAGTAGAAAGGGGCTATTAGACAAGGGAGGGTCTCTGGGGAATGGAAGGGCCAACTCCTGGCCAGAGTGTGATCTCCAGCTGGTTTGTGGTGGGCTTGCCAGTTTCATAGGTGGACCAAGAGAAAATAGAATGTCCAGTGCACTAGGGAATGCTTGGGTGTGGCGTCACAGGTGAAGTAACATAAAGAGGAGCCAACCTGATGCAAGGGGGTGTAGCTCAGGGGTAGAGCATTTGGCTGCAGATTAAGAGGTCCCCGGTTCAAATCCGGGTGCCCCCTGCAGGTGGCTTACCTTATTGCCAAGTGCAAATGAATGACCTCATTTAAGGTCCTGCTCATTGTAAAGTCACCTACATCAGCACCCTCCCTGAGTCTGTGTCAGTTTCCCCAAGTGAATTCTGGGGCGAGGCACATGTCACGGTGCTGTTGTTAATGATGTGTGTGTGGTAGAAGTTTCTTACTTCCCTCTTAAAGTTTACGTTATGATCAGCTGTTACCCAGCCTGTCTGCACCGGAATTACTTAGGGACCATAGTAAAAATACAGATCAGCCCTAGGAATTAGGATTTAGTAGAACTGAGGAGGTGCCTGGGAGCTTCTGTTTTGGGGAGGCACACCCCCCCCCCGCTAACTTCGATGGTAACATGCAGTCATTCCGGGTGGCTGGAAAATTATTTTGGAACTTACAACGCTATGTCATTTTAAACATTTTGGTGATAAACATCAATGATTTTTCAAGTTAGTGCCTTCAGCCCAGGACCGAGGGAATTGTAAGAGGTAGGCTTTAAGCACAGAGAGTGGCCAGGGGTGCAGAGGTAAGAGAATGCGACCATGGTAGCGTGGTGACAGATCACGCTGGCACAGTCCTGCGAAGGCGTGGTGACAGCCCATAACTAATAACTTGACTCCGCATTGAGGTTCAAAATTGAAACACACTTATTAGACAAGACCGAGTAAAGCATTTGATTGACAACCTGGAGGTCCCTGATTCCAATTCAGATGTGTTCTTTTTCCCTCCCAACCTTTGAGCCCTCTTTCCATCTTTTGAGGAGCCCCAATTATGTGAGCCCTGGTGGAAGAAATGGCTCTGCTTGCAGCTGCAGAATTAAAGGCTATTTCCCGTTTTCTCCCCGTAGCACTTCTGGCCAAACAGGTGTTCCTGACTCACACTACACTCAGACCGAGTGACACAAATCCCAGGGTTGGCAGAGCTCAAGCACCGCCCAACAGCTCCCTAACTGGTGCCCGAGAGCCTAGCAGGCTGAGTCCCCTTGGATCGACCCTGCCTCGCGAACCTACAAGCCCCAACCTTCCCTTCAGTGCTGCGGGCTCCCTGCCACCTGGACAATGATTGTCTCATCTTTTCCCGTAGACAGAACCAGTTTCTGTTTCTGTAACAACGTGCCTAGGCTGATACAGCATTTGGAGTCGGTTGCAGGCAAAAGACCTTAAAGAAAGTGGGGTGGATGTAGGATTTCTTTTCTGCCCTACTTGGGATAGAAGAAAGTGGAAATCCAGTGGATTCTTAAGGGCTGGCAATCTGAGAACCCAAGGGCTCTCAGTGGTAAATGAGCTGATAAATCGATCACATAGATTCAACTGACCAATGGATTGGTGGCAGCTTATCCACCTGGGAGGCATTTAATGGCTGTTTATGGTTGACGTCCATTCTGGTCAATGTCCGTGCTGTAGAGATGGCTAAATATTTTGAGTATCACCCCTTCTTGGAATAAAGTTCCCACCGGAGCACAAAACCTTCAGGGACCAGCTGTTGTTATAGAACAGGATGAAGGGCCAAGCCAAGGCTGATAGTCTAGGGAAGCTCAATGTCATACAATGGAAAGCTCAAGTCTATATTCTCTTCCGACAAGGACAGACACGGCAGACTTCCTGACCACTGCGCTAAAAACTCAGCTCGTGCTGCTGAATGACTGAGATCCTGAAACAACGACAAGATCATCAGTGGCGAGCCCAGTTGGGTTCACAGTTGCACACGCCTCTTGGAGGCATTGCCGCTTCACTGAAGCTTCCCGGGCTGTCAGGGCACCTCCTCAAGTTCCACAAGCAAGTTGCTGCATCTTGCTTTCACCTTAGGCCTTATTGGGGCTTTTCCTGTTACCCAGGTCATGGTGCCGGGGAAGACAAAATACTCAGGCGCAAAGGATCTCCCTGAATGGTCAGGTAGAACAAGGGGGATGGTTACTCCTTGCCAAGTTCTACCTACGTGTATGTATGTTTTTATACTTTATAATCCTCAAAGCTTTTCTCCAATATTTAACTCACGTGCACCTGCGCGCATTCGCACGCACGCACAATCTTTGATATCTCGCATTTGAATGAATGTGATGGCCTAGCCTTCCTGCTTTTTAGTCAGTAATGACCTGAGCTTTGTAATAAGAGAAACAGCCCTTTTACTTAGTCAAGGCGGTATTTAGCAGACGCGTCAGCAAAAGGTAAAGAACAGGAAAACGCTGAGCTCCTAAAGTCCCTTTCTCTCCTATGTCCAGATGTGACAACTATTTCCATCGTCAAGCACAGCGGCCATTCCTACATACCTGCTGATGCACGTGTCTCAAAAAAACTGATGTTGTGGGCATGTAGGAATTGCTTTTGGCTTCCCAACACCCATCTCCTGTCCTAGGAACATCCCAGTTTTGCTTGGATGCAGGCTGGTAGAACGGGAGTCTAGGACCTTCTATACCTTGGGGGTAGGCGTGCCCTGATGCTAGCTGTCTCATGTAGATGCTGTCCTCGGGATTCCAGCCACGGACAAGAGACAAAGCGCCCAGAGTGGCTGGTTCTGGATCGTGCACATGGAGGTCCTTGACCATGCTGGCCTCTTGCCATGAGTCTCTGAGGCCCACGTGGCCATGCCTTTCCCAAGCTTTTTTTTCTGCCTCCTAGCGATTCTGTGATGTGTTTCCAATCAGTTCTTTTCTTAAATTAAAAAAGGCAGTTTGCTGAAAAATACCACCTGATACAACTGCCTTCACCTTCTTCTTGCTTTCTAACAACTGGAATGCGGCGTGATGACATACTTGGAC